GNCAAAAGGACATTTCAAAAGGACATGGACAGCTGATTCATGGGCAGCGCCATAGAGGAAATAACTATTATTGACATTTAATTGCCTTCTAGCTAGGTTGCACTGTGTTGGTAAAATATCTNGATAAGATGTTGAAATAGAGAACCTAGACGTCTATATATAGGCTACAACAAAGACCCTAAGGAGAAATAAGAACTGGGCTCTCAATGGGCTTAAGATTTCTGTGTTCAACCCATTAATAATAAGTCAGTCCACTAAAGACTTATTATTGATCTCCTGTGCCTTATCTTAAAATTATATTCGAATTCCTTATTATTATATGTTTAATAATCTTCTCACGTCTAAGATTATAAATATCCATGAATTAAATAAATTACTGACAACTATATTTAATTGACTTTTTTTATTCATTGAGACTTTACCACTCAATTTATTTGTCATGTCGGATAATTAAATTCATATGCAGGGTTTGACATGGACAAAACTCATGAGTTTCTTCAAGAGTACATTATCAACTCATTTAAATACNCCACGTTTAAGATTATAAATATCCATGAATTAAATAAATTACTGACAACTATATTTAATTGACTTCTTTTATTCATTGAGACTTTACCACTCAATTTATTTGTCATGTCGGATAATTAAATTCATATGCAGGGTTTGACATGGACAAAACTCATGAGTTTCTTCAAGAGTACATTATCAACTCATTTAAATACTAGGACATGGTTTCCTTTAATATTTAATTTTCATCATATAAATAACATCATCTCCAATTTTATCGAACTTATTGACCCAATATGAATCTCACTCTTTGATGAATTAAAGTGACAAACATTATATGCACGTAGCAATTAAATATTTAGGGATTAAGAGCATAAGTAATCATAATAATCATGAGGTACTTATTANGTGGTTTCCTTTAATATTTAATTTTCATCATATAAATAACATCATCTCCAATTTCATCGAACTTATTGACCCAATATGAATCTCACTCTTTGATGAATTAAAGTGACAAACATTATATGCACGTAGCAATTAAATATTTAGGGATTAAGAGCATAAGTAATCATAATAATCATGAGGTACTTATTATCTTATCAAATCAGTAAAAGATAATAACCTCAACATGAGTTTGTTCAACATACAAAATGTACTACTGCAATAATACGAGATATCAAACAATCTCCTATAGTCAAGACAGACTATGTCAGAACATTACACTACAATCATAGCAATGTCGTGTCCAATTCAATCTACGATTGTGAACATATACTCATATTATACAAAGATACGATAATCTGGTCTACTGTGCATAAGCCGAACTCTACACGACAGATTATCTACAATGTAACATATAAGACACACATGTGTATCATATATAAAATATAATACAAATATTTTGCCTATATAGATTCTCAATAAAATGACAATAACAAACTTTTATTAATTAATAAAATAGGTTTCACTACAAAAAAAAAACTTTTAGTATGCTGAGAGAGGGCTAATAACCTTAAAAGTAGTCGGTCTTGAATCCATCTATCAGATTTTATTCTAATAGTTATCCCATTGCAAATCCGCCATCGTAGTCCTTTCATCACATATTTTCTAGGCTCCAACATACTACGACGAGTAAAGGAGGGATTATAGCCTAGTTGAGCCTCAATTATTGATGTATTTGGGAAATATTTAGCCTTTAACACCCTACCCAACAATGACGATGGGCATTGAAGAAGCCACCAAATCTACTTTGCAAGAAGGGCGTAATTAAATACTTTTATATTCCAAAAACCCATCCCGCCTTTAGTCTTCAGTCTACATAGTCTCTCCCAGGCTAGCCAATGTATTTTCCTCTTAGAACCATTACCACNACGTAATTAAATACTTCTATATTCCAAAAACCCATCCCGCCTTTAGTCTTCGGTCTACATAGTCTCTCCCAGGCTAGCCAATGTATTTTCCTCTTAGAACCATTACCACCCCACCATAACTTCGTTATCAAGCTGTTCCATTCTGCACATAGTGTAGAAGGTAGCTTAAAGNGCGTAATTAAATACTTTTATATTCCAAAAACCCATCCCGCCTTTAGTCTTCAGTCTACATAGTCTCTCCCAGGCTAGCCAATGTATTTTCCTCTTAGAACCATTACCACCCCACCATAACTTCGTTATCAAGCTGTTCCATTCTGCACATAGTGTAGAAGGTAGCTTAAAGCACGACATAGCATATGTCAAGATAGCTTGCGCTACTGACTTAATAAGGACCTCTTTACCTGCACTTGATAAAAGTTTCTCTTGCTAGCCTTGCACATTCAACCATACCCTCTCGCAAATAAAATCAAAGATAGCACGCTTTGTTTTTCCAATCATCGAAGGAAGCTCCAAATATTTATCATGGTGCTCAACTACTGGAACTCGTAGCATACTCTGAATTTCACCTAGAATAGTTGGCTAGGTATTNGTCAAGATAGCTTGCGCTACTGACTTAATAAGGACCTCTTTACCTGTACTTGATAAAAGTTTCTCTTGCCAGCCTTGCACATTCAACCATACCCTCTCGCAAATAAAATCAAAGATAGCACGCTTTGTTTTTCCAATCATCGAAAGAAGCTCCAAATATTTATCATGGTGCTTAACTACTGGAACTCGTAGCATACTCTGAATTTCACCTAGAATAGTTGGCTAGGTATTTTTACTAAAAATAATAGCTAATTTAGAGAAATTAACTACTTGTTCAGAGGCCATTTCATATTTATGGAGACACTCCATGATAGCCTCACAATTCCCCCTAGTGGTCTGGGCAAAAAGGAGGTTGTCATCCACAAAAAATAAATGATAAAAGATTGGCCCTCCCCATCCTGCTGTCATTCCTTGAAGACTTCCCCTAACCTCTCCTGCTCTTAAGAGTGCCGAGAAACCTTCAAAACACAANTCCACAAAAAATAAATGATAAAAGATTGGCCCTCCCCATCCTGCTGTCATTCCTTAAAGACTTCCCCTAACCTCTCCTGCTCTTAAGAGTGCCGAGAAACCTTCAAAACACAACAAAAATAAATAAGGCAAAAGAAGATCTCCCTGCCTTAATCCTTGTTACAGCCTGAAAAAACTGGATTGTTTCCTGTTGATTATAAGGGAATAGTATACTAACGAAACACACCGCATTATGATTCTCACCCAACGCTCACCAAATCCTATTCTACGCATCATTGCTTCCAAGAAGTTCCACTCAATATAATCGTAGGTTTTACCTCCCTTATTCTTCTGCTTTAGATAATGATTGAGCTCGTACGCACTAAAGACGTTATCCGTAATCAACCGTCCTGGGATGAAAGCACTTTGATACTCTAAAATTATTTTGGGTAAAATCCTCTTCAATCTATTAGCAAGGACTTTCGCTATTAGTTTATATACAACGTTGCACAAACTAATGGGGCAAAAGTGTGTCATATTTTCTAGATTTGGGATCTTGGGTACCAGTACTATGTGGGTATAGTTAAGACTGCAACAAGGGTTATCTGAATTTAGAAAATCCAATAGAACTCTTGTGACATCACCACCCACTATAGGCCAGAATTTATGGAAGAAAATTAGACCAATACCATTTGGACCTAGAGACTTATTTGGGTGAAATTGGTTCAAAGCTTGAGCAACTTCAGAAGGTAGAAATTTTGCTAACAGGATGCAATTCATATTAGCTGAGACACTCGGTTTTACACTACTTGTGACTTGTTCCATCTATTGAAAAGAAGGATGCGCCGACTTGAACAAGTCCGTAAAATATTTAACTGCAGTTTGGTCAATCTGTCCCATCTCTGTAACCCAAATACCCTCTTCATTGAAAAGGCCCGAGACCAGATTCCTCTGTTTGCTAGAACTTGCTTGTGCATGAAAGAAACTCGTGTTTCTATCACCCTCCTTTAACCACAATGATTTTGATCACTGCCTCCACATTGTTTCATCCGCCTTCAACATGTTATTAATCTGAGCTTGAACCTCAAATAATTCCTTTCTTGTATCCTCTGTGATGGTCCCCGCTTGTAAATTGACTATCCACTCTTTATTCGTTTGAATCTTGGTGGTTATATTGCCAAACTTTTCAAATTTTTTCACTTCAATAACCCTGCTCTGCAACTTCTTATATTACTGAGGTAGTGTTGTACAAGCGAACCTGTTCCAACACCAAGCCAACTTTGGCAAATTACTTCCAAACAAGAGGGAACAATAAGCCACATCGGCTCAAAACAAAATCATTTTTCCTTACCCTTTCTACTCCCAGGTTTTGTGAATCAGAAATGTGAAATAGGATTTGGCAATGATCCAAATCCAAGGTGGGTAGATGTTCTACGCTACTATGGGGAATAGTGATGACCACGATAGGGATGCTCAAATTCTATCCAATCTCACCTTAATTGAGTACAGATGGACACTCCCATTCCACCATGTAAAAGCATTGCCCTTGAAGGCCATATCTTGCAATTGACACACATCAATTGCTTTGCAAAAATCCCTCATTTGCCAATTTGGACGAGCCTATCCACCCCATTTCTCCTCAAAAGACACGATCTCATTGAGTCTCCCCCATACACCCAAGGGAGATAAGATATCTGGCTTAATGACTTCAAAAGATTCCATGAATGCTTCCTTAAGCTAACTTTAGGGTGACCATAGAATCCCACAAAACGTCATTGCTTAGGGCACCCCTCATCAATAATTGCTTTAATATGAAAATCTGAGAAGCTTTTAACGCTAACTCGAACACCCATTTTCCACAATAAAGCAAGCCCACCACCTCTACCTTGTGAATCAAATGCCAACCCTTGGGACAAGCCAACCCAAAACTTTATTTTATCTATCTCATTAGAAAGTAGCCTGGTCTCTATCAAGAAACCAAACTAGGCTCTTTCTGTTTCACCAAATCATGAAGCGCAAGAACTGCACAAGGGTTCCCAAGCCCTCAACAGTTCCAGCAAACACCTATTATGGTTCCCAGTGGGACTAATCAAAAATCATCATCGATGATGATGAGTTGAGAAGTGTAGATTGTGATACCTGAACCTTCTTGCAAGAAACATTGTCATTTTCAAAATTTGTTGAGCACCTTGACCTTTCGCCCCGTCGCTTACCACCCACCTTAATCTCTTGGATTACCCAATTTGTAGCTAGGGTATGGGGTTTAGCCTTGCAAGACCACTTCCTTTTGCCTGTGCTAGCTAGCTTTAAATCCCTAATTGCAACATCATTTAGCTCAGAAGACGAAGACCCTTTTCCCGAGGAACAAGTGTCTTCCATATGGGTTGGGTCTTTTGGATGTTTAAGGGAATAACCCATATTCTCCACAGACTCTAGAAGCTCCAGATGGGCCGTAGTTGGATAGTCTGAGGTGAGACCCACCTCATATAGGTCACTAACTATAAGGGCCTGTTACATTTTTTTTAGAGTCCAAAGAGTCCACCCTAGCTGGAGTTACCACATCCCCCCTTTCCTTATTTAAACCAATAATCAAATCCTCACTAGAGATTTGTGGAGAGATTACATAATCTAGGACTCTGTCCTTAACATTAGTATCCCTTTGATGGCTCTCCTTGATTTTCGGCCTAACAACACACCTAGAATCCCATAATGGATGCCCCTGATTAAGCCCCAGTTCAGGTGTCAGAGCAGAAGCCAATGACACAATCTCCGATGATCCAGGTTCATTCTGGTGCCTAAGAACCAATTTGGACTTGGTAACAGTAGTGTTCAACCATGCACCATATTGATTCACAAGCCCTTCATCTGTTTCTAATGTCGCTTTCAACCCAGAGCATTACTTCTCGGTATGCCCTGCTTTACCACAGTGATAACACATTCGTGGTAGCCTTTCATNCTCCGATGATCCAGGTTCATTCTGGTGCCTAAGAACCAATTTGGACTTGGTAACAGTAGTGTTCAGCCATGCACCATATTGATTCACAAGCCCTTCATCTGTTTCTAATGTCGCTTTCAACCCAGAGCATTACTTCTCGGTATGCCCTGCTTTACCACAGTGATAACACATTCGTGGTAGCCTTTCATATTGGAATAAGGCAAAATGGGTTTCCCCCATCCTATCCCTGAGTTTAATTCCTTGGTAAAAGGGTACCGTAATGTTCACATCGACCCTTAACCTCATGAATCTGCTCCCATTCCCCAGCTCTTCACAGATTTCCACAAACTTCCACTCCTTAAAGTTACTAGTAACTTTGATTGCCATATCCTTAGTAAAGCATTCGCGAGGAAGACCCTTAACTTGAACCCAAAATTGGACCAACTCAAATGAAACTAAGTTGACCCCGATACCTTTGGACCAACTTTTAGTGATAAGCAAGAAATTATCAAAGCACCATGGTCCTTGATACAAGACTTTGTAAATCTCCTTCTCCTCGTTCAAGAAAAATTGAAAGATGTTAGGAGAAAGCCTAGAAACTCTCAAATCTTTACATCCCAAACCCCGACATTGTGTTCTTTAAAACTATTGAGTTAACATATTTCTCTGTCAAGATCTTTGCATAAACACTCAAAGCACACTCCTCCAAACCTTCTGCAATGTCATCAATACTAAAATCAATAGCCACATTCTCTTCCTCCATAAGAGAAAAAGACTGAAGCTTATGAATCAAGCCTTCTTCCATAGTGCGTCCTCTGACAGAAGCAAACAAACCTAACTCAATGAAATCATAGTGGGAAAGACAAACTCCAAGCAATCAAAAGAGAAAATCGAAACCACGCATGAGCACAATGAATCTAATTAGACTTGATCTTTGTGCAAAGAGAAATCATTCAATAAAACAGGCAGATAGATGAGAGATGGAAATGAAGAAAGGAGGAAGAATAGAAAGGCAAAAAAGAGAACTCCTATAGATGACCTAAGGAGAGAATTATTGATATGCTCTTATTTTGTGTAAGAAAGTTAATCCCTCTAATTCACCAACTAGCTCATATTGTTGTGAAGCAATACATACAAATGATGGATGAACAAAGCCAGGAAGTGCATAGGCTGCCCTCCTAATAACCAAAAATTTCAATGGATTTTTATAAGAAAAAAATCAAAATTGTTTGAATAAATTGATTTTAGCGAGGTTTGTGGATGACATAATGTCCGCCACTTGTGGATGACATAATGTCCGCCACTCCTGCTGTTAGATCTTAAGGTTATGAATTTGAATTTCGTTGTCTACCTTTCATATAATAGTGGATTTTAAAAGTTATTCTGTTGAGGTCCTACTCAACCCTCACAAGAACTCAAGTTTCACTGATGTGATCGATCAATTATTTTCGTGAATCATGTGGCATAAACGCCAAAATAAGAAAAGTTGGTTAATCTAACCACTAAAGGAAAAAGTGGACAACGTGCTTCACGCTTCCCACTGTACATGCTGACCCAATATAATTCCAAATGGAAAACAGTTTCTAAATTCCCAAAAATTAATTTACTATTTTTTATTAATTAATATAACCTTTTTTATTTAGTTCAAATTTATATATTTATTCATTTATTGAAATGAATTTAGTTTGTTACTATAAACAAGGACAATGTCAACGAGCAGGGACAGAGTCAAGATTTTATACTTAGAGGGTTAAACTTTATCACAAAAATTCAAATTTTCAGTGTAACAAAATAATGTATTCGATATGAACAAAACTATGGATGCAAAATATAAGATTAACAAAAAAAAACATAGTTTTTAATACATACGAATCCAATTGTCTATTCAAGTAATGCTCAATGTACTTTTATATCATGAAATTCTTCTATAATTGAATCCGTACTAAATTTTTTAGCAATTTTTTTTTCTATGTACACAATCAAAGAATCGATGATTGGAATGTGCTCTAATTTTATTGTCTTTCTATTTATTAAGAACATATTTTTTATGGAATAAATGGGATAGGGACAATTTTTCCTGTGCTAATTAGGAAAGGATAGAAAAAATATTTTAATGCTTCATTGTTGATTGGCCTAGAGACAAAAGATAGAAAAAATATTGTAATGCCTCGTTGTTGATTTGTCTAGGGACCTCTTCTTGTACGAAAAGTTAACAAAAGGGGCCAACCAAGTCTTCTTGTCGAGTAAAACTCCTTTAGCAGCTCTAATACCTACCTAGTGTTATCCCAAATTTAGGGGGGCCATGGCCACCCTTGTGAGAGATAGTGAGTGGTTGGGAGAAGATGAGATTAAATATAGACAAATTGGTATAGTATCATCTACTCCTAAGAATATACATATTTTTTTTGGTTTAAAGATAAACGGTGTTCGAATTAGTTTATGTGTACTTCAACTAATTTCTTCTTTGATCCGATCTAAAGTAAAAAATCTACGTCGAAACTAAGATATTTATGGGCCTCACTCCAAAGAGTTGATAATATTTGACCTATTACTTTCATAACCAGGACTATCTGTAAGAATATTCAACCTATGGTCGGGACTATTTGTAAGAATATTCAACCTATTACTTTCATAATCAGTAAAAAAAAAAAAAAATCTTTATTCTATTAATCATAAGTGTTTAGACATTTAAATTCAAATTAAGGAATGTCTATGATTTCTGTTTAGGAAAATACTAGATATACCCAAGTTGGGACTTACTCCATTAATCTTTTGTCCTTATTAGATTAAAAGTGAGAATTGAGATTCGTTGTTAATCTAATTATAAATTCTATCAGGCGTTATATTCAACGTTATTTATCCCAAACTAGAATAAAAGAGGAGGATAGCATTAGGTAGTCAATAATCACAATTATTGATTAGGTGATGAGTCGCAATAAATTTTAAGATTTACAGTGAAATCAATGACAATAATTAATTAAGTTTATATTTTAAATCCATGTAGTATTTGCTCCAAATAAAGACGGACTCATATAGCTGATTTACCATAATGAGTCCAAATAAAGACAGACCCGTATAGTCAACCCTAAGATGGAAAAAATATTTTTTAATTTAATATTTTTTAATTTTTAATTTTTAATTTTTAATTTTAAATTTATATATATATGAAATTTTTTTAAATTTATCATTATATTTTAATATGAAATTAATATATACATAATATATGTATATATTAAAAGATATATCGACAAATAAGATATATTTCAACATAAATAATTAACTTTTTATTTATTTATTTTTTATTTTGGAGGGATTGATTTTGGTGAATCGAAAAAAAGTTAATTTATCTATTTTTTCATTCTTCTTATTTTCCTTCCTTATCAAACATGATATTTTATTTATTGCTCAAACTTTTCTTCTTTTTCTATCATACCAAATCGGAGCATAAATAATTGGGACATAAGACTTGATTTTGCTTGATTTTGTTTTGTTAATCTAATTATATTAAAACTAAGTATTATGCTAACACTTGTACAATGTATAAACTCCAGATGTACTCAATTATGCTCGATGAACTTTACTTTGCTTTCTTCGTACATTCTGAGCCGCTAATGTTCCATAAAACACACAAGGGCTAATCACTCAACATTTTGAACCTAAATAAGAAGGAAACGTTGGAACATGCATTAACAATCAAACCAACCTATCAGAATCCGGCAATCCTTGCCGGAAATCTTCCTCCCCGTCCATCGCCGGCGGTTTTGAACGCTTGACGGCGATGGAAGCTCGGCAAACTGGACAACTGGAGTGAGAGTAGAGCCACATATCAATGCAAGCAAAGTGAAAAGAGTGTTTACATGCGTTCAGCTGCCTAATCTCTTCTCCTTCAACAAACGCCGACAAACACACCGGACATTCGCCGCCGTTCTCTTTTCCGTGATCCTCCTTTATATACTTCACCACCGAAGCCCAATCCGTTTTATTCATATGTGAACCCCTCGGGGTCAACTCTCCGGCGTTCCCGCCGGACCGCCGGCCAAGTCTCTCGAAAGGGTTAGGAGGGCACTTTATAGCGAAAAAGAAAGCATAGATCAAGGTGGGTATGGCAATAAGTGTTACTAAAGCAACGATGGCGGTGAGAAGAGGCATGTCGGAGCTTCTAGAATCGGCCGCCGGAGAAGATAAGGGTACGGTGGAATTGGTGGTGGCAGTGGTCATGATAAGGTAGGGTCTTTGGTGGTTTAATTTCTAGCCGCCTGAAGAAGAATGATCTGATGAAGTCTTCATTTGGCTTTATGAGGAAGAATAATTGAGGGGACAAAGACAAAGGTCATGTGTAACATCAAATAGCTTGGTGTGCAGCTAGTACATGACTTGAAGATAATATTGTTTTCAACCACCAAGACGGCTAGACACACGGTGAAAAATAGGAAAAATGGAAAAAAAAAAAAAAAAAAAAAAGTAGACAGCCTCCATTGAAATAGGAAGGCTTCTATTTTCGATCACGAAAAAAGTCATATTCATTAGAAAAGTGTGGGATGAATGGATCTAATCAAAAAAGTTTATAGGACTCGTTCATCTAATAAACGATATTTATTTAAATTATATTTGAATTTTATACCATTACTCTCGAAGCTGCATTCAATTAGTTCCCGTAGCATTGCTAGTCAATTATTTTTGAATGATTGATAGACTTGGCAGAACAGTACTTCCAAACTTGGTATGCAAACTTTAGATTTTTGTAGGTTTTTTTGGATGTGTGTGTGGATTAGATCAGTTAGATGCGTGTGTGTGGCCTTCTTTGCACAGGGTCATCTTCTTTGTCCTCAAGTTCTGTGATTGCTTGTAGAAACACACACCCTTCTTTTTGTTGGTCGAGTAGAAACACACACCCTAACCCACGTATATATATTGCCTTCGTTCCATCTCCTTTGTCCTCGAGTTTTTGTGCTTGTGCTTTTTCATTTCTTTTTTTTTTTCAATTTTTTTGGTTCAAACTTGATCGTGTGCCTAAACCCACGTACTTTCTGTCATTGCAAATAATTTTGAAGGGTCTGGAAGGTTTTGTCCATCATCTTGCACATTGTTTTGGGGAAATTAGTTACTTAATTAGAACAAGAAAAGAGAGGAACTTGAGGAATGAAATAACGGAGAGAAAGAGATTTAGATCCTCTGTATTACGCTTTAACTTAATTTTATTCAATAATAGATCACTTACCATGTATTAGTGAAAGATTCACTTATAAAGAGTGAAACATATGTAAATCCATGATATGTGATATATCATTTTGTCCATCATCTTGCACATTGTTTAACACAAACTAGACTCCACAAAAAAATCTAACAAATCTTCCTTGCAACTCATCAACATCAACCGCAATTCTCCAAAAGAAACGGTCCCTCATCCTTGCAACTCATCCTCCTGTCCTCAAGTTGAGAGACCCACAAAACCTGAACAAGACTTTAACTTCTCCACAGTAACCACTTTCGTGAACATGTCTGTTGGATTATCCCTTGTGTGAATTTTCTCCAAAGTGAACTGCCCATCCTCCAACAAAGAGCGAATAAAGTAATAATTATGTCGATATGATTGGTCCTCGAATAAAAAGCTGCATTCTTCGCCAGATGTATCGCACTCTGACTATCGTTGAACAATTTAGAATTGTTTTACTCCTTACCTAACTCTTTCATGAAGATCCTCAACCATACCATTTCCTTGCACGCCTCCGTGGCTGCACCATACTCCGCTTCTGTTGTTGAAATAATCACTATTTTTTGTAGCCTCGAGACCCAACTAGTTGCTGTACTAAAAACATACCCTGTAGTACTCTTTATGCTATCAATTTCCCTTGCTAAATCAAAATCTACAAACCCTTGTAAACAAATATCAGAACCCCCAAAATTCAAAGCCAAATATGAAGTACCTCTCAAGTAGTGCAGAATCCATTTAACTGTTTCCCAATGCTCCTTGTTTGGATTTGCCATGAACCTGCTGACAACTCCCACTACATGAACAATATATGGACTTGTGTAAACCATGACATACATCAAATTGCCTATCGTCGAGGCATGTGGAACCTTTACCATATAGTTTTGCTCTTCATCTGTTACTGCACACTTTTCCTTCGAAAACTTGAAGTGACTTATCAAAGGTGTGCTAACTGGCTTAGCACTCTCCATGTTGCACATTTTCAGCACCTTTTCAACATACTCCTCCTATAACAACTTTAATTTCATGTTTGCCCTATCCCTACTAATTCGCATCTCAAGAATTTTTTTCGTAAAACTCAAATCCGTCATTGCAAACTCATTTGATAGTTGTGCATTGAGATTAATTATCTCATCCATGCTTGAACCTACAATAAGCATATCTTCTACATATAATAAAAGTATGAGATATGACGTATCAAGCTTCTTAAAATAACAACAATGGTTCCTATGACATCTACTAAACCCCTTAGCTACTATAAAGGTATCAAACTTTTTATACTATTACCTCGGAGCCCGTTTTAACCCATACAGACTCTTCATCTGCTTGTATATTTGATTCTCCTTGTCTTTTACAATATAACCCTCTGACTAATACATATAAATGTCCCCCTCCAAATTCTCATGAAAGAAAACAGTTTTAACATCCAATTACTCTAGAT